GTTGTTTTCTTTTTTTTATTTTACACTTCTACATCTGCACTATACTGTTGCCTTACTGCTTTTATACCTTGATCCCTACTTTGGGCTTGTCGTATTAGTTGTGAACGTACAAAACCACAAATGACACTTTACAACACATCATAGTTTGTTGTGAGAGTTAGTTAATGCCTTGTGATATCTGTACTCCTTTGCTCACGCAACATATTGGGTTTGGCATTAGACTGTGATGGGATTTGCAGTGTTTCATCGCTTTGGAGTGAGTCATTAGGATTTCATTCAGCCTGTTGAGTAATCACATTTATAAAGGCAGCTATATACACTGATCAGCCAGAACATTGAAACCACTGACAGGCAAAATGAATAACTGTGATTATCTAGTTACAGTGCAATGAAATGGGCTTCTGTGGCCCGTCTACTAACTGGACGGTTGGTTGGTTGATCCCCAAAGTATCCTTGGGTAAGCTACTGAACCCTCAAACTGCCCCCAAAGTATTAATTGGAGTGTACGTGAGAATGTTACAAAGTGCTGTGTGAATGTGTGTGTGTGATTGGGTGAATGAAGTCTTGCAGCTATACAAGTACCAGTTCATTTGCCAGTGTTCAGATGGGAAGCTTTTGCGTGTGGCACAATGTGTGGCACTCACGAGGCACACATTAGCACACCCAGAACAAGCCCCACAGTGCATCACCCTGCTGCCAACATCCCAAAGGTACTGTGTCCACACCGTGAATGCTTAGATCTCTGTTTTCCAACAGGAAGGTGGGGCCCAATTCAATATTATGAGGGTGGTTTTAATGTTGTGGCTGTTGGGTGTGGGGCTTTTTTTTATTTTTTAAATACAACACCAAAACAGTATTAAGCACCAAACATTTCAAGCTCAACCAGCTTTGTATTCACAGTGGAGCCATCGAGGTGCCATTCTCACCACCATTTGTAAATTGCTTGTATGCCTAATAATTATACACCAAAGTCTCAATCATAGTTAAATTAGCCAGACACATTCCTCAGTGGGAGTTGTAGTTCTAATATTTATTTATATGTAACCTCAGAGACTACAATTAGTATTTTTTTTCTTTTTACAGTTGTGTTACATCCCTTTTTAAAAATTAATATTTATATAATGTCTCAAGTAACTTTGTGTACATACAACTTTAAAAATAATTGTAGCCACTTACTGTCTGTATATTAGCCAATGCTGAGCCATATTAAAGATCACATATAACCTGGGGTGGTTTGTGACACCAGCGGTCTGCCATCTATAATCCAGTTTGAGTTCCCTTCCCAGACGCTGCAACGCCCATTCACATCCTGGGCCATCTGACCTCAGGTAATCACATGATA